TTCTACCCCCCCCCCCCCCCCCCCCCCCCCCCCCCAAAAAAAAGGGTGGTTGTCCCACTGGCTATCCTAAGTTGAATGCACCAATTTGTAAGTCGCTCTGGATAAGAGCGTCTGCTAATTGACTTAAATGTAAAAAATGTAAAATGATCTCTGCATGTGTGGTTCCCACCGTGAAGCATGGAGGAGGTGTGATGGTGTGGGGGTGCTTTGCTGGTGACATTGTCTGTGATTTATTTAGAATTCAAGGATCACTTAACCAGCATGGGTACCACAGCATTCTGCAGCGATACGCCATCCCATCTGGTTTGCGCTTAGTGGGACTATCATTTGTTTTTCAAAAGGACAATGACCCAACACACCTCCAGGCTGTGTAAGGGCTCTTTAATCAAGAAGGAGAATGATGGAGTGCTGCATCAGATGACCTGACCTCCACTATCACCTGACCTCAACCCAAATGAGATGGTTTGGGATGAGTTGGACCCAACAAGTGCTCAGCATATGTGGGAACTCCTTCAAGACTGTTGGAAAAGCATTCCAGGTGAAGCTGGTTGAGAGAATGTCAAGAGTGTGCAAAGCTGTCATCAAGGCAAAGGGTGGCTACTTTGAAGAATTTGTTTAAAAAATGTTGGGTTACTCCATATGTGTTATTTCATAGTTTTGGTCTTCACTATTATTCTACAATGTAGAAAATAGTACAAATAAAGAAAAACCCTTGAATGAGTAGGTGTGTCCAAACTTTTGACTGGTTCCCCCCCAAAAAAAAAAAAAAAATATATATATATATATATAAAAATATAAAAATAAACATATCAATAAAAAAAAGATAAAAAATAATAAAAAATAAAGGTCTACATACAAATCGAATTGTCTAGTTACGTCAGTCACTAGAATTAGGTGAATCATGTGAACTAGTGAAAATTCTGGGGGTCTCCGAAGAGAGAAAGTTTGAGAACCACTGGGCTAACCTAACCAGGTAAAACTCCGGACTCTAGTTGGAGGGTATGATGTAGTAATAAATCAGCTGTAAAACGGTTTTATATGGGCTATGATAGGACCAGATGTTTTCTAATCAGGTCATATGGTTAAAAAAAAAATAGACAACAACTGCGATTGGACAATAGAACTAAGAGGGCTGAGTTTGCTGTATGCAGGGTTGCATTGTGTTGGCCTTTGCGTCTGTAATTAAAAAGTTACTCACACAGTATGTCATCACTATTGTGTTGATTGATTAATTTCAGTCAATGAAAAGGTCTAGGTAGCCTAGCCACCCGAAGTTTGAATATAAACCAAGTTTGATCACATTCACATTTTCTCTTAACACAAATAAATAGGCCTATTTTAGGCTATAAGTACATAGCTTAGGCTATAAATACATTACGTTACTGCTTCGTTTCACCTGGCCAGAGGGGATCAGAGTGCATAGGCTTCTCTAGGCAACCTGCAGTTGTGGTTTTTCTCAGTAGGCTACAGACTGAAGCACAGATTAATTGTGCACTAGTTGACAAATTACGAGGCAAATCAGTCTAAACAACAGTACTTTGTCCCTATTTTCAACGCTTTTGTGTCAATATTTTTTATTAAACCGAATCAAAAGTGTTGGGGCATATGCCAGCTCGCCACACGTTTGCCGTGCTGATCTCTGCAACATGAATAGATGGAAATCGCCACATAATGCTACAAATGAAGAAACATATCCTATATGTACAGTTGAAGTCGGAAGTTTACATACACCTTAACCAAATACATTTAAACTCAGTTTTTCACAATTCCTGACATTTAATCCTAGTAAAAATTCCCTGTCTTAGGTCAGTTAGGATCACCACTTTATTTTAAGAATGTGAAATGTCAGAATAATTGTAGAGAGAATGATTTATTTCAGCTTTTATTTCTTTCATCACATTCCCAGTGGGTCAGAAGTTTACATACACTCAATTAGTATTTGGTAGCATTGCCTTTAAATTGTTTAACTTGGGTCAAACGTTTCGGGTAGCCTTCCACAAGCTTCCCACAATAAGTTGGGTGAATTTTGACCCATTCCTCCTGACAGAGCTGGTGTAACTGAGTCAGGATTGTAGGCCTCCTTGCTCGCACACGCTTTTTCAGTTCTGCCCACAAATCTTCTGTAGGATTGTGGTCAGGGATTTGTGATGGCCACTCCAATACCTTGACTTTGTTGTCCTTAAGCCATTTTGCCACAACTTTGGAAGTATGCTTGGGGTAATTGTCCATTTGGAAGACCCATTTGCGACCAAGCTTTAACTTTCTGCCATCTATTTTGTGAAGTGCACCGCCCCTCCTGCAGCAAAGCACCCCCACAGCATGATACTGCCACCCCCATGCTTCACGGTTGGGATGGTGTTCTTTGGCTTGCAAGCCTTCCCCTTTTTCCTCCAAACATAACGATGGTCATTATGGCCAAACAGTTCTATTTTTGTTTCATCAGACCAGAGGACATTTCCCATGTGCAGTTGCAAACCGTAGTCTGGCTTTTTTATGGCGGTTTTGGAGCAGTGGCTTCTTCCTCGCTGAGCGGCCTTTCAGTTTATGTCGATATAGGACTCGTTTTACTGTGGATATAGATACTTTTGTACCTGTTTCCTCCAGCATCTTCACAAGGTCATTTGCTGTTGTTCTGGGATTGATTCGCACCAAATTACGTTCATCTCTAGGAGACAGAACAAGTCTCCTTCCTGAGCGGTATGACGGCTGCGTGGTCCCATGGTGTTTATACTTGCATACTATTGTTTCTACAGATGAACGTGGTACCTTCAGGCATTTGGAAATTGCTCCCAAGGATGAACCAGACTTGTGGAGGTCTACAATTTATTTTCTGAGGTCTTGGCTGATTTCTTTTGATTTTCCAATGATGTCAAGCAAAGAGGCACTAAGTTTGAAGGTAGGCCTTGAAATACATCCACAGGTACACCTCCAATTGACTCAAATGATGTCAATTAGCCTATCAGAAGCTTCTGAAGCCATGAAATCATTTTCTGGAATTTTCCAAGCTGTTTAAAGGCACAGTCAACTTAGTGTATGTAAACTTCTGACCCACTGGAATTGTGATACAGTGAATTATAAGTGAAATAATTTGTCTGTAAACAATTGTTGGAAAAATTACTTGTGCTGACTTGCCAAAACTCTAGTTTGTTAACAAGAAATTTGTGGAGTGGTTGAAAAACGAGTTTTAATGACTCCAACCTAAGTGTATGTAAACTTCTGACTTCAACTGTATGTTTCACTATCTCGAATTTCGAGTCAGTATCTTGAAATTCTGAGTTAGTGTCTCAAAATGTTTACATAGTATCTCGACATTTTTAGATTGTATCGACATAAAAAATTTAAAAAGTGCCGGGAATGGGCTTCCATAGGTAATAGAGGGCTGCCTAACAAACATACAGTATTTCAGTTTTTGCGATTTGGAAAGACTAAAGCTCCTGTTGCAATAGTAGCTGACATTTATGACCATTGAAAGCATGACATATTGTACTCCACCACATAGATGAATATTATTACTCCACTTAGGTAAAGTGACAGCATTACATGACAATCAAAACCAAACGAAGTGCCTATAGAATAAATCAAGCAGTAAACAACCTGTGTGATTTCAACATGATTTAATATACAGCCATTCGCAAGGGTCCCATAAAAGTATTTATTTGATTTCATCATATGCACATTGATGCCCTGGCTATTCATGGCATGGAATCACTATCAAAATCCATCAGCTTGCAAACAGACAAAAAGGCATTAAATAAATGTATAATTTATAACTGATGTTAGAGAACACATCTGTGGGCAGTTCAGCAATGGTTCTGACTGATGGTTGAAATCTCTTTGACCTCCTGCGGTTAGTATTTTAGTTTGCTCTTGAAGGTCACCAAGCTCAGACCAAGTCTAAGTCATTTTTTTTTTTACAATCTTGGTATTTCGGCTATAACTCAATGAGACAGATAGAGGGTGCTATATTAAAAAGCAAAGCAGACAAATAGAATGAATTCTCTAGGGTGGAGCCAGGATAGAAGCAGCAAAGCAACTTCTGCTGAGAAGAGGAAGATTCATTTTGTAAAATAAATAAATAAAATAGATACAAATGCAAATATTTCTTGGGTGATTCCAGTTCCCTTCCATTTCTACAATACATTCAGTCAAAACTACCATCGGTTCCCAAAGCACCACACTGAGTCCATCTGTAACCTTTAGAGAGCAGGTCATCCTCAAGGAGACAACTCAATAGTAATCTGAAAACAATATGGCCGACAGGGAGGAAAGAAGGCATGTGAAGCAGGGGAGGATTTCAGCAGAGAAGTGGAAAAAAAAGTTGATGAGGGCTTCTTGTTTTTACCAAATAAAATTTGCAAAGTAACAGGAAGAAATCAAGAGACAGCAACTAGTCACAGAATACAACTCAAACAAATATTGTATCAAACATTTCAAATATTTCATATTTAATTGGCCTCAAACAATGACAATACCTTCAAACATTATTGATTTGCTTAAATATACTGTAACATTTTTAAAGCTCACAGAGAATGTGTTCAGTCGGTCTTTACAGAATTGTGCCACAATGAGAAATGTCCCTCTTTCGCATTAAGTATTCCAGGTCAGAATCATTGAATGTGGATTCACTCACATACTCATACACCATTAACATCTCAAAGGAATCATCATGAATTTCTATAGAAGATATGAAAACTGTACATAATAACAATACCTTGAACATTAAAAACAAGGTTTTTATATTTATTACCCATCTCCGAAAAGGAGAAATGTTTCAAGTAAGAAAATGATGACTGGAGCAACTCCTTTTTTCCCTTTTATATTTTATGGCTGAACAAAAAAATTATAATATTTAACTGCCAATGAATGTAGTCTGTGAGAAATGATTGGGTTCAGTCTTTTTTTAAATCAGTGTTTTGTCTAAATGAGTCTTCATGCAGATAAAAAAAAGCTAAAATAAATAAATAAAAATGGTGCCATCAAGCCGGTTGCTGTATATCAGTCTACCAGATATCACTTGTGAGTTCCCTTCCAGATAGAGGGACGAAAGTGCTGTTCAAGTGGATCTCCTGCTTGCTCTTTCCCATCGTGTTGTTCTGAGTCACCTGTCCGTTGAGCAGCGTCATGGGGATATTGCAGTACATGTGACGGTTACTCAAGGTGGCTATCTGCACGGGGGAGCCGGGCATCTTATACTCGTAACTACGGGTGCAGTAGTGTCTCATCTGGGGGTGGCCGGCCTGGTTAAAGTCTGGGATCTCGGCATGGTGGGCGGGTGCCAGCGAGGCAGATGTGGTTGTCATGGCAATGGTGGAGACCGTCTGCAGGTCGCCGAACAGGCCCTGCTCTCCGGAGTCTAGCACCTGCCGGCGAGACAGCATCTCCTTCCTCTTTACCGGCATCTCGTATATCACCTGCTTCCAAAACTTGGACTTGAGCTCGTTGCTCTTAGGGCCCCTCCACTTGATGATGGTGAGCACTTTGATGGTGTTCTTCAGGGCCTCCACCTCCTGGTAGTTGATGACGCTCTTGAGGTCAGCACACTCGATCATAATGACCTTGATCTCCCCGGTCACCAGCATGCTGTGGAGCCGTGTCTCCAGCTGGAAGATGCTCCAGCCACGCTTGGCCACAAACTCAGGAGTCAACACGATGATCAGACGCCTGCTTTGCTCCACACTCCGTGCCAGGTCCTCGATGTAGACTGGAGAAGAGAGAGAGAGATACAAAGAGAGATAGGGAGAGGGAGAGAGAGAGAGAGAGAGAGAGAGAGAGACAGAGATACAGAGATACAGAGAGTGAGAGAGAGAGAGAGAGAGAGAGAGGGAGGGAGAAAGACAGAATGACACAGAGAAAGGGAAAGAGAGAGAGAACATGTCAAAGAGTAGCATGTAACAAAACATTTAAATTTGTCCATTTAGAATTGAGATAACAGCAGTATGAAGCTGCAGGCCTAAAACAACACCCCGAGACATTACAAAACACAGCAGCAACCAACACTTTGATCTATGTCACATTACACCCCCTATAACTACTCCCACTATACAACCAAACAGACAGCATCAGGACAACACCACACTTTAAAAACACACCACCTTTAGTCAATATAGCCTTCTCACTACCCTGACGTCTTAATCCTAAACCTGTGGGTGAGCAATGTAATGTAATTAGCCTGTTGAAAAGCAGGCAAAAAATGTACACTGGTAAATAGAGGGTGTCTATGAGTCATAGAAAAAAGGAAGTTGAAGGGTGAGAGAGAGAGACAGAGAAAGAGAGAGAGAGAGAGAGAGAGAGAGAGAGAGAGAGAGAGCGATTTAAAGAGTTAAATGCCATATTAGCTCTTAGCGGATGGTTGGCTCCGGCTGGGTAATGGTCCAGTGTCCTGCCTTCCCCTGCAGGGGCCCTGTCTTTTACACCTGCACGTGTCACATCACACATCGGCCCTCCTCTACCTCAACTGCCCACCCCACTGCTACACACACACTGCTCCACAACCACACATCTTCCTTCCCTGACACCCAACATCACCCCAGGCACCAGTGCCACCACACAACATGTGCCCCACCTCCATCTCCTACTACAAATGTCCATTCTTATACTTAAGACGATTAGCCTGAAAGTCAACAGAAGGCTTAATCATATTAGATAGCGTTATAACAGAGATCACAAGAAATAAACATTGAAGTAAACATAAAAAGGCCTAAACAGTAGGCTAAAACCCTTGATATATCATCTCATTAGTGTTGGGCCCGACTAAGCAACTCAGAGGAAGAGTGCTGATGTAGGATCTGTCTATGTAATCTTACTCATTATGATCTAAATGGCAAAACTGATCCTAGATCAGCACTCCTACTCTGAAACGCTTGGTGGACACAGGCCCAGATCTCTAACTTCCTTTACTGTGGTTAATAGAGCAGGTATTTAAGAATAAACTCCCTGAATATAATTTAGAAGGCTATAACAAAAATAAAACACTTCCCCTCAGGCAGCACACAATTGCATTATCTAGTCTAAAGAGTGAGTTAAGTCTGATGAATTCCAACTAAATGTTACTCAGAGCCAATTTACATTTGAATGATCATTCTTTACACCCATGCAGCTTATTCGGTGTGGCTTAACATGAAAAGATGACATATACAAGATTGTCTTGTATTAGGCTATTCAGTTAGAAATACTTTTTATAGGTGAATGGGATATCCCCTCACACATATTAAGAGGCAGCAACCTCAGCTGAAGAATGTGCTGTGTGGGGGACTTTGTTCAAAGTAATCCGCCACACACATTTGTGGCGGCGGCACCAGAGCTACAGGAGCTTGAGACCGTCTATCAACCTTTTTTTCTGGCTTATGATGAAAGATAGCGTGTCAGACCTTTTCAATATGGAGGTATTAGCGGCAGACTGAAAATAGTACTCTGAGCACAGCGAGCACCAAAGCAAGCCTCACAAATGAGATCCTTTTTCCTTACTTGTGTATGAAACTTTAGCAATGTAGTGGAGAAATAATGAGGCCAATGTTAAGTGCACGATTAAGGATACACTTAGCGGGGGTAGCAGCTCAACCCTTTGCTATGTGTTGTTTTTCCTGCATGGCCCCAAGTCTCGTCTAGTATGGATATTGAGATAATGCTGTGTTTTTCCATGGACATATCCCTAATAGATTCAACCATAAATGTGTATTGGGGGTAATGTCCAGACTCCAGACAGGAAATGCATGTAGGATCGTGGGGAATCAATTAATGTTGCCTATTTCTGACTGCGAATACAGAGGCACTATACTGAGAGACTTCAAATATGGTCAGATAGATTAATATCTTTACAATGTTACATTAACATATATTGATATTAATTTAATAAACATACAGATGTTTAATTGGCAATGAAATATGCATAAATATGTTAACCTTGCAATGTTGGTGGATTTGAAATGCTCTTCCTTTCATCTCTTGCCAGTTCCTAACAAAATTAATGATGGAAGAGCAACAACACATTGCAATCTCACGGTCAATTTGCAGTGCATAAATAGTACAATTTGTATGGGCGGGACTGAGTTAGAGTGCTATTTTTTTCATTTTTCTCGCCCTGTTTTTCATATGCTGATGATTATATAAATCAATTAATACAAATAGTAATAGTCTCTCTCGCTCTCTCTCTCTCTCTCTCTCTCTCTCTCTCTCTCTCTTCTCTCTCTCTCTCCCTCTCTTTCTGAACAAATTAGGCGTTTGGTCGTGTTGGCCTGATCTGTAAATGCATTGGTACTAATGATGGCAGCCTGCCTCTCAGGGAACTGAACACTTCTCTATAATTCAATACCTATGCAGCACTATCAATACACCCTACTGAGCCCCATGGCTTGTCGGCAAGCAAACACACTTAGAAAGCAGTTTAGTTATGTAAGCATGGCTTTGACCAGCCTAAGGAGTGCAAGGAGGGAGCATAATTTTTATTTTTTTGTATGGGCCAAAATGCCATAGGTGGAGGGGTGTGTGTGTAGGACCTATGTGATTGTATGTGTGTATGTGTGTGTGTGTGTGTGTGTGTGTGTGTGTGTGTGTGTGTGTGTGCTTGTGTGCATGCACCTTTGGCTGTGTGTAAAACTGTATAACAAGATGAATTGACATAAAGTGCAACCTGTTTTTGCTTTGTCATTATGGGTATTGTGTGTAGATTGATGAGGGAAAAAAACGATTTAATAAATGTTAGAATAAGGCTGTAACGTAACAAAATGTGGAAAAAGTAAAGGTGTCTGAATACTTTCCGAACGCACTGTACATCAAGCTTATGTAATGCACTGGTAAACCACACATACAGTTGCTGAATTTCATTTCCCCTCTGCTTTTACCATATATGTAACTATTTGACACCAATTACACTCCCAAGTAAGATGCCAACACCAATAAACGGTACAGTAGCTGCCTTGTGGAGATGGGAGATCCAGCATTGACAGATAACACAATACAGTGGGGAGAACAAGTATTTGATACACTGCTGATTATGCAGGTTTTCATACGTACAAAGCATGTAGAGGTCTGTAATTTTTATCATAGGTACACTTCAACTGTGAGAGACGAAATCTAAAAAAATCCAGAAAATCACATTGTATTATTTTTAAGTAATTAATTTGCATTTTATTGCATGACATAAGTATTTGATCACCTACCAACCAGTAAGAATTCCGGCTCTCACAGACCTGTTAGTTTTTCTTTAAGAAGCCCTCCTGTTCTCCACTCATTACCTGTATTAATTGCACCTGTTTGAACTCGTTACCTGTATAAAAGACACCTGTCCACACACTCAATCAAACAGACTCCAACCTCTCCACAATGGCCAAGACCAGAGAGCTGTGTAAGGACATCAGGGATAAAATTGTAGACCTGCACAAGGCTGGGATGGGCTACAGGACAATAGGCAAGCAGCTTGGTGAGAAGGCAACAACTGTTGGCGCAATTATTAGAAAATGGAAGAAGTTCAAGATGACGGTCAATCACCCTCGGTCTGGGGCTCCATGCAAGATCTCACCTCGTGGGGCATCAATGATCATGAGGAAGGTGAGGGATCATCCCAGAACTACACGGCAGGACCTGGTCAATGACCTGAAGAGAGCTGGGACCACAGTCTCAAAGAAAACCATTAGTAACACACTACGCCGTCATGGATTAAAATCCTGCAGCGCACGAAAGGTCCCCCTGCTCAAGCCAGCGCATGTCCAGGCCCGTCTGAAGTTTGCCAATGACCATCTGGATGATCCAGAGGAGGAACGGGAGAAGGTCATGTGGTCTGATGAGACAAAAATAGAGCTTTTTGGTCTAAACTCCACTCGCCGTGTTTGGAGGAAGAAGAAGGATGAGTACAACCCCAAGAACACCATCCCAACCGTGAAGCATGGAGGTGGAAACATCATTCTTTGGGGATGCTTTTCTGCAAAGGGGACAGGACGACTGCACCGTATTGAGGGGAGGATGGATGGGGCCATGTATCGCGAGATCTTGGCCAACAACCTCCTTCCCTCAGTAAGAGCACCTGAAACACCTGAAACGACCTGAAACACACAGCCAGGGCAACTAAGGAGTGGCTCTGTAAGAAGCATCTCAAGGTCCTGGAGTGGCCTAGCCAGTCTCCAGACCTGAACCCAATAGAAAATCTTTGGAGGGAGCTGAAAGTCCGTATTGCCTAGCGACAGCCCCGAAACCTGAAGGATCTGGAGAAGGTCTGTATGGAGGAGTGGGCCAAAATCCCTGCTGCAGTGTGTGCAAACCTGGTCAAGACCTACAGGAAACGTATGATCTCTGTAATTGCAAACAAAGGTTTCTGTACCAAATATTAAGTTCTGCTTTTCTGATGTATCAAATACTTATGTCATGCAATAAAATGCAAATTAATTACTTAAAAATCATACAATGTGATTTTCTGGATTTTTGTTTTAGATTCCGTCTCTCACAGTTGAAGTGTACCTATGATAAAAATTACAGACCTCTACATGCTTTGTAAGTAGGAAAACCTGCAAAATCGGCAGTGTATCAAATACTTGTTCTCCCCACTGTATATGCAGGCCCTCAAAGCACACCACAACACACACCACCCTTATAGGGATCACTCACTGCTGTGATTGCTGGGGATGAGGTCCCGGTCGGGGATGAAGAGCTTGTATCCGTAGTGTTTCTCCAGAACATCTGGGAGGATCTCCAGAGCAAACTGCTCCTCTTCACTGGAGCCCCTGTCCATCGAATCCAGCTCCACTTTGGTGTAGGACAAATATGCATCATACTCCTTGTTGTCTGTGGGTGAAAAGACGAAGACAAAGAGACAGTTTTCTGTTACCAAATGAGAATTCTAGATGAATATGAGTATGACATAACATAGTTGTTTAACAACAAAAATTCTGTATGTCTCTATTGTGAATGTATAGCAAGGGGATCTATCCTAGAAAGTGACAACCATGTCATAGAAATGTGAAACTTAAATCCTAAAACAAAGAAGTGTGGATACAGACAACTAAGGGATAAGTGGCCAGAATGGTAACTAATTCTGTGTCGCTAAAATAAGGGTCAGAACATCAGCTCTAGTTCTCATGAATTTCAAACACATACTTTTTTTCTTGCACGAATCCTTAATACGGTGAGAATACTGCTTCTGTTACAGTCTCCGGGGGCGCTGAGAGCTGTGACTGACCTTTTCCCTGCTCTGAGACTCTCACTGGGTGGGCTATAGGCCCAGAACTGGCCGTGTAGGACACACCCAGCCCAGCCCCAGGTGACACACACTCACCGTCCTCTGTCTCGTCACTCCCAAAGTGCCTCCGGTAGCAGAGCATGATCTCCACATTGTAGCACTTGTAGATGGCCGTGAAGAAGCCCAGTAGCAGCAGGATGGCTCCTAGTCCACCAGCCAGCTCTAGCCTGTACATGTCTGGTAGAAAGAAGAGAAAGATAGGTATGATACGTCTGCTAGAGAACAGATATAGACATACAGAGAGAGATAGACATGAAGAGTGAGGAGAAACAGAGAAATAAGACACTTACTGCCACAAGATACTAACATTACTCATTACAGTTTCCCCTACCACAATTCCTCTGTATCTTTCTACTAAAGTTTTCGTTGCACTGTCAACAGAAGCTTACGTTCACAGTTCTTGGGGGCCTATAGGGTTAAGTCATTTCCAAGTGTTCTGTGAGGAAATACTGCATGAAGAACCAAGCATTCATCTGAATTGAGTTCAATTGAACTGTCATATATATGCTTTATACAGAAACATAGCATAAAGACAAAGATATGAGAACATTTCTTCGGTCTATGCGTTCACACAGTATTGAATGTGTGTGCGTGCGTACGTGTGTATGAAAGGGGGCTGAGGGGTGCAAAACTAGCTATAATCGTTCATGTTTGCCCTGCTGCCATTCACCAAATATGAGCCATAAATCTTAGCTGCAGTCACTCCAGATGATAGTAGCATAATTTCTCATCCTGCATCCGTCAGACATTACACTATCTGTCGGGCCACTCGTCACTGACATACAGCACTGGGGTACTTGGTAGGTTGGTGTGTGAACGCACTCATCTGTGAAATCATAAAACCTTTAAGATGAGAGGGATGATGGGTCGGCATGCCATTTCCTTATACATTTTGTTTATCAAAATAGGTATATGTTCCCATAGATATACGAAATCCATAGACCATACAAGGAAACTGATCTAAACCACTTCTGCAATCTGGGCCTGTATTCATAAAGCATCTCAGAGTACGAGTACTGATCTAGGATCAGGTCCCCACTGCCCTTGTAATCTTATTTATTATGATCTAAAAGGCAAAACTGATCCTAGATCAGCGATCCTACTATGAGACGCTTTATGAACAGGGGCCCTGTAGTCATCCCTGTGAAACCACCATTCAGCTGCAGTTGTCCAATACAACGGGATTCCATTGCAATTCACTACAAGCATTACTCTGACATCCCACACATAAACAACACAGATCAATACTGTGAGTAGAGCTCTCAACGTTTAGTCTGTATTATAATGTGCTCCTCCATTATGTTGCATGTGTTCTGTCATGTGTTCTATGGGCCGTGGTGGTTAGTGTTTAGCCCAGTGAGCAGTGACCAGTAGAGGTCTCTGTAGCCTCACTCCAAGAACAGACAGTGTAGAACACAGGACCACTCATTCCTTCTCATGGAGAAACCTGAACTGAACTAAACTGATTCAGTAATAGTATAGTTTTGTCCTTTTTTACTTCCTACTAATACTTAAATACTGAATATTCAGTACACTCATTTGCTGAGCAATATTAAAAAACTGGAATGGGAAGGATTTCTCATGTTTTATGGGGAATTAAATATTTGTGGACCAAATATTTAGATGCATTTTTTCCCCAACACAGCCTTGTCTGGTGTAGTCTGTGCTGCCCTACATGCTATTTGTTTACATATTTCCCTCGATTTGAATGGCTATCAAAATTATACAGTTCACTGTATGCCTCCGAGCCTAAAGTTAATAGGTTCAAATTACTCTGCTTTCCTCATTAATGGATATATTAATGTGCTCGAGGGTCTGAAATACATTTTTGAATGAATTGTTTTCCTTCCGAAACGAGACACTTAAGCCACAACAATTCCTTGAGATGATGACTCAACTCTTTGGGAGGTTAGGAGGGCATTTGGGATTAATCTTTCATGCAATATTGTAACATAAAATACGCAAGTATTTATTTGATTCCATTAGAATACTTTTGCCCTTTGTGACCTGCTACAATACTTTATTGGTGCATACGAAGCACACTATTCACGGTTGTAGTTTTTCATTGCGCTGAGGCTATAAAACATATATTTGCTCTCAGCCAAAATCTAGTTTACAATGCACTTATAAAGCTGTGACTCAAGCATATCTGCCTTTCCAAGACAAAGAGAAACGGGGATCAAAGTCTGCTCTCTGCAAACTCATGCTCTTTCAGTACCCATGGTTTTCACTACCTACGTAGCTACATCCATCTCCATACAATCGCTTCCTAAATGTATTTATCTTAAGTATACATCTAAGTTTAGCTAGGTTCCTTACCTTTACCCTCATTGAATAATAATATGGCATTTAGCAGACGCTTTTATCCAAAGCAACTTACAGTCATATGTGCATACATTTTTACGTATGGGTGGTCGCGGGGTTCGAACCCTCTACCCTGGCGTTACAAGCGCCATGCTCTACCAATTGAGCTACAGAGGACCACAATACATATAGCATGACACAGTATTATTAGACACATTTGGCAAGAGGAAATGGGGTTTTAATTAGTCACTGCCCAAATGGGCAACGGGGATAACGCTCTCACCCCTAATTGACTGTTACTTGCACCAATACTATGTGACAATGGTACCCCTTGTCTCCTCTTACCAATCTTAGGCTGAATCTGAACTAAATGAACTGTTTAGCATGAGTCAGAGGTTGTGCTCCACCCTACGCATAATCAGAGAAAGAGAGGGAGGGAGGGAGAAAGAGTGTAGAGAGAGAGAGAAACAGGGGGAGGGAGGGCGGGAGGGAGAGAGGGAGGGAGGGAGGAAAGGAGGGAGAGAGAGAGGGAGAGCAGGAAGGGGGGGGTGAGGGGAGAGAGGGAGAGAGACAGAAATGCAGAAAAAGAGGGAAAGAGAGACAGAAAGGCAGATAAAGAGATAGAGAGACAGGGAGAAGAGAAACTATCAGTGTCTCTCAGTGAGCCTTGGTTGTTTACCCTCCTATACTTAACCACTCCTCTGGAAGGACAGAACCAGAAGAGGGAAGGTCGTCATTAGTTGTGGCTTTAATCACCTGTCCCATTAGAAGAGACACAGTGGGACGCCCCCCTCCAGGAGAGGATGGTGGGGAGGTGGGATGGCGCTGGGGCCTGACGCTGCACCGTCGCAACCCTCCCCAGGGAGACATTACCCATAATCTGTTAGCCTAAAGTGTTGCTGTCATAGCAGCAGCTTTAGCAGCAGCAGCAGTTTTGAGGACAAGCCTACCTTTCTTCTGCAGAATGGCGCTGCCACTCCTCCGCCCGATATGGTTCTCCACAAAGCAGGTGTAGTTGCCCATGTCCGTCTCCTCCACCGCGTCAAAGGTTAGGGACAGCTCCACCTCTTTCTCCCCTAGATACTCCTTCAACACCCTGTGTAGAGGAGGAGGAGGTGGAAAGAGAGAAAGACCTCAGGGGTGGTGCCATAACCCGAAGCATAGAGGATCCTACGTGGGTAGATAGTGGGGGGTAGAGATACATCTTGTATAGTGGCTGTTTTCAGGGCCCTGGTTCCACAATGCAGCTAACAAGAGTTCAGCACTGAGGTCATCCTTGTTAGACATAGATTCTGCCCCGGAGTCCTGCTGTTGACTTTCCCCATTAGAGTGGAGCTGGAGACCCAACACACACACACACACACATACACACTCACACACACACAAACACACACACACAGATGCCAACAAGCATGAGGTCTGTGTATATGTATACACTAGTGCTGTTATTGTGAAGTGAAAATGTCTAGGAGCAACAACGGCTCAGCCGCGAAGTGGTAGTATGTCTGTCCTCTGTTGCAACACTCACTACTGAGTTCCAAACTGCCTCTGGAAGCAATGTCAGCACAATAACTGTTCGTCAGGAGCTTCATGAAATGGGTTTCCATGGCCGAGCAGCCGCACACAAGCCTAAGATCACCATGCGCATGTGGTGTAAAGCTCGCCGCCATTGGACTCTGGAGCAGTGGAAACACGTTCACTGGAGTGATGAATCACGCTTCACCATCTGGCAGTCCGATGGATGAATCTGGGTTTGGCGGATGCCAGGCAACGCTACCTGCCCGAATGCATAGTGACAACTTTAAAGTTTGGTGGAGGAGGAATAATGGTCTGGGCTGTTTTTCATGGTTCGGTCTAGGCCCTTAGTTCCAGTAAAGGGAAATCTTAACGCTACAGCATACAATGACATTCTAGACAATTCTGTGCTTCCAACTTTGTGGCAACAGTTTGGGGATTCTAGACAATTCTGTGCTTCCAACTTTGTGGAAACAGTTTGGGGAAGGCCCTTTCCTGTTTCAGCATGACAATGCCCCCGTGCACAAAGCGAGGTCTGTACAGAAATGGATTGTCGAGATCAGTGTGAAAGAACTTGACTGGCCTGCACAGAGCCCTGACCTCAACCCCATCGAACATCTTTGGGATGAATTGGAACGCCGACTGCGAGCCAGGCCTAATCGCCCAACATTCGTGCCCGACCTCACTAATGCTGTTGTGGCTGAATGGAAGTCCCCGCAGCATTGTTACAATATTAGGTGGAAAGCCTTCCCAGAAGGTTGTTATAGCAGCAAAGGGGGGACCAACTCCATATTAATGCCCATGATTTTGGAATGAGATGTTCGACAAGCAGGTGTCCACATACCTTTGGCCATGTATGTGTGTATGTATGTACAGTTGAAGTCGAAAGTTTACATACACCTTAGCCAAATACATTTAAACTCAGTTTTTCACAATTCCTGACATTTAATCCTAGTAAAAATTCCCTCTCTTAGGTCAGTTAGGATCACCACTTTATTTTAAGAATGTGAAATGTCAGAATAATAGTAGAGAGAATGATTTCTTTCAGCTTTTATTTCTTTCATCACATTCCCAGTGGGTCAGGAGTTTACATACACTCAATTAGTATTTGGTAGCACTGCCTTTAAAATGTTTAACTTGGGTCAAACATTTCGGGTAGCCTTCCACAAGCTTCCCACAATAAGTTGGGTGAATTTTGACCCATTCCTCCTGACAGAGCTGGTGTAACTGAGTCAGGTTTGTAGGCCTCCTTGCTCGCACACGCTTTTTCAGTTCTGCCCACACATTTTCTATAGGATTGAGGTCAGGGCTTTGTGATGGCCACTCCAATACCTTGACTTTGTTGTCCTTAAGCCATTTTGCCACAACTTTGGAAGTATGCTTGGGGTCATTGTCCATTTGGAAGACCCATTTGCAACCAAGCTTTATCTTCCTGACTGATGTCTTGAGATGTTGCTTCAATATATCCACATCATTTTCCTTCCTCACGATGCCATCTATTTTGTGAAGTGCACCAGTCCCTCCTGCAGCAAAGCACCCACACAGCATGATGCTGCCACCCCCGTGCTTCACGGTTGGGATGGTGTTCTTCGGCTTGTAAGCCCTCCCTTTTTCCTCCAAACATAACGATGGTCATTATGGCCAAACAGTTCTATTTTTGTTTCATCAGACTAGAGGACATTTCTCCAAAAAGTACGATCTTTGTCCCCATGTGCAGTTGCAAACCATAGTCTGGCTTTTTTATGGCAGTTTTGGAGCAGTGGCTTCTTCCTTGCTGAGCGGGCTTTCAGGTTATGTCGATATAGGACTTGTTTTACTGTGGATATAGATACTTTTGTACCTGTTTCCTCCAGCATCTTCACAAGGTCCTTTGCTGTTGTTCGGAGATTGATTTGCACTTTTCGCACCAAAGTACGTTAATCTCTAGGAGACAGAACAAGTCTCTTTCCGAGGCGGTATGACGGCTGCGTGGTCCCTTGGTGTTTATAGTTGCGTACTATTGTTTGTACAGATGAACGTGGTACCTTCAGGCGTTTGGAAATTGCTCCCAAGGATGAACCAGACTTGTGGAGATCTACAAAAACAATTCTGAGGTCTTGGCTGATTTCTTTTTATTTTCCCATGATGTCAAGCAAAGAGGCACTGAGTTTGAAGGTAGGCCTTGAAATACATCCACAGGTACACCTCCAATTGACTCAAATTATTTCAATTAGCCTATCAGAAGTTTCTAAAGCCATGACATCATTTTCTGGAATTTCCAAGCTGTTTAAAGGCACAGTCAACTTAGTGTATGTAATATTCTGACCCACTGGAATTGTGATACAGTGAATTCTAAGTGAAATAATCTGTCTGTAAACAATTGTTGGAAAAATTACTTGTGTCATGCACAAAGTAGATGTCCTAACCGACTTGCCAAAACTATAGTTTGTTAACAAGAAATTAGTGGAGTGGTTGAAAAACTAGTTTTAATGACTCCAACCTAAGTGTATGTAAACTTCCGACTTCAACTGTATGTATGTATGTATCCTTGTGCTCCACCTTCCCACCCCTCACCCTTTCTAGCCTCATCTCGCAGCCTGGGTTGCCTGTGTCACGTGACCTGGTATGTTCATGCAGGGCAGAGCTGGGAGGCTGGCGCCCTGATGACCCAGGCCTGGCTAATGGAGCGTGCTGTGGGAAACCTGCTTGCTGTGCGGAGGGGAGGGTGGTCTGTCAGGCCTGGATTGACTTGTGGTGTTGCCGGTCGGCAGGATGGCGAACAGGGGTTATTAGTGGTAATCCCCGTCTCGGGGCCAAATCCGGGGCCCATTGCCAGCAGATTGATGGGTCTCAGCAGCGCGGGGGCTGAGCTGTCATGGCTCAGGGAGGGAGGGAGGGACGGGGGAGGGGGGAGTGAGGGAGGGATGGATGGGAGAGTGAGGGACGTGGGCCATGTGGGCGACACTGTGGCATCGGAACCTCTACATCCATGTTAGGAAGGAGGACGCGGTTCTAGTGGTAGAAACGAGGCGATGGTGTAATTAGTGGTGGTGTTCCTCCGCTTGGCTGGAGGAAAACAAAACCGGAGCAGAGGAGACATGGTCAGTCTGCGGTGTGAAAAACTCTCCCCCACAGGAGCACTTCAACTCCTCCACCCCAAAATACAGAACAGCTCTTTGCAGTGTCAGTGGGAAGGACTGATATGTGCAGTGTGAGAGGTCATTCTGAAAGATGAGCTACTTGCTAAAACTCTCCAGCATATTCACAGTCGGACACACGCATATATTTACTCAGATCCTCACAAACACTCACACGCACACAGGCCCACACTCGCAGACAGAGACAGACACAGACAGACACAGACACGCGTGCATGCGCACACACACACTAAACACACACACGCACACTCTCTTTCTCTCCATCTCTCTCTCCCTCTGTCTCAGATTGCATTAGTACACCAGGAGCGCTGAGAGAAACTGGGTCAGAGCATCTTACTGCACTAACCTGACCTGGACTTCTTTGTATGAATTCCCAAACATATTTATCCTGAAAACGGTCACAGCCTTTGTTCTTAAGGTTATTAGACCATCTTAAATAAGCAGCCTTTTCTCCTCTCCATTCTTAGTCATAATACTTGGCCGTTCACCAATCAAATTGGGGCAGACAGAAAATTACAGTCTGCCTGTATCTCCTCTGTATCAACCCCCTCTGACCATTCAAATGCTTTTATCTGCTTTTCATCTGCACAGCTGTAGAGACAACCAGCCTCGTTTGGTTAGCAAGAGAGAAAAATTGGTTGGTTTTGTTTTGGCCGTGTGTGCTGGGATGTGGTGGCAGTTAAAGGCATTGTTCCTAGCCGGTCCAGGGAGAAGACACTGGATATTGATAGGACCGGGAGCCAGGAGTAACGTTAGATAGCAGATTTATAATTGTAGAGGTGGGCTCTGGTGTGGAGTCAGTTCAGTTGTTTTGAAATCCATTGTGTACTTTATGACTGAAATGCTACTCACTACTCTAGGCTGGGCAGGTGAGATACTTTTATTTGTCATTTATTAGGAGTGGTTCAATTTACATGACAGCTTTATGTGGTAATTACTAGCTTTCTTCTCTTTGTGGAGATCAAGGTTTCCAACAAGAGGAGGAGCTCTCACTCTCACCACTTTCAGTAGTAGCAGTCTGCTTTTGTTAAATTAATGTTACATGATTCGTTTCTCATTGTACGCGTGAGGATTTTGCTTCTGTCCATTTAGACTGCAGAAATCCCTACCGCCGATGGAGGTATTATAAGCTGTCAGTCATAGTTAATACCTCACACTGGACAGCACAGGATGTGGCCGCTGGCACATCACACTCCTAATGACTCCTGATGATGTTTCACACCCACAAGACATTACCCCACAGACCTAAAGGGAATAATATTGGGGAGGAAAAAAGTTTTTTCCTACAAGTAACACGGTCAGTCACATCCACCCTAGTTTCTGTATATAAGCAGAAACGCCAAACGCCAAACACCATCAGAAAAAAAAAAAGAGGAAACGTTTGCAGTGATAGATACAGTACCTGACTTCACTTTCTTTAATGTGACCTGCCAGCTCCTCCACAAACTTCTCCCCCTTCATCCAGTAGATGATAGGTCTGGACTCCCCGCTGTAGCCGAAGAAGGCATTACAGTCCAGACTGAGGGGCATACCTGGAATGACAAGGAAGGAAGGACGGCAACACACTGGTCAGCGTTTACCTGAGAGAACTGAGGAAAGAGCCCCCCCCCCCTGGCACACACACGTACACACGGCTCACGCACATGCACACACACACACAGGGCTGTAACAAGGGTTTGAGTTTTCGTGAGATCCGGAAGGGGAGGGGGGTATTTTTTGAAAGTTGAAGCTCATTTACTGCATTTCTATACAACTAAAAAACTTTAGAAAATGCTATTTGGAGAACAGCAAAAACATGCTGCTGTAGGTTCATTCACCTCAGTCGATCTACAAACACATAGCCTATTAGCTATACAATTGTAATGTTATACCCCTGAAAGAGGGGAAATATGATAAATTATTCACACTGCCATGTAGCATCAGCGACTGTTCAGTCAGTTGTAATGATGATTTGCATAAAATCATAAACTCTTTACATAATATCTATTTTCTCAAATTACATAGTGTTCACGTTTGTATTCCTATGCATTATTAATCAAGCTCCGCACAAACGGACATCAATGGAGCACACAGATGATCGTATTATTCCTGGTGCCCAAATTGATGACGTATGTCGAACAGCGAGAATCGATTTGAGACGAATGGATTCGGTTCAGTCTGTTCAGTCAGTCGTCCTGATGCGCCCTTTCCAGCTAGCTAGTTTATGCTTGTGGCTAGAAACTTTTGTTAGAATTTGAAACTTGTCTGCCGAAGTTGGGACTTGGGAGAGTGTTCAGAATCATTCAGCTTATCTGGGTAATTGTATACGTTAATGGCATAGTTGTACATTTTCTGTGAAAATCACTACAATATGTGTGCTTTAGCTGTCACCCAGACCTGATATTGGCTATACAATCTAGCTACTTCCATCTCCTTACTGCGCGGCAAGCAGGAGCAAAGGACACTGTGCCCAGTGTTGTTGTGTTGCCAGCTTGCGGCGCAAACTCTACCCATTGAACAGTATTGTCTGCATTGTTGGGAAGGGCCCGTAAGTAAGCATTTCAGTTAGCCTGCACCTGTTGTTTACGAAGCATGTGACAAATAAAATGTTATTTGAGTAGACTGTATCACAGTGACATCCAGATGGTTACTACCAATATTACAAGTTATTTCTCGTGTAGGCTGCTATCCTACTCAAAATAAACTCTTCAGAATTGTAGCCTGTGGCTGTCGCTGATTAGGCTGATGCCCCATTTCATGGACCCAAGATCCATAGGTAAGGCTGTACAGTGCAATTCTGAAGTCTAACACATCCACAGTGCGATTTCAAGTAATTATTTTCTTTTTTGTGTCAAATTAACTAATTATTGTCTTTTGTTAAATTTGTATAACAACATTCCAACTTTGTTTAGCTTTATCTAGTCCAGTTGTGGCATGATTCCACTATTTTTATCCGATTGCATCAGTTTCAATGGGGGCCTTTTATTTTGAAGGCGAACCGCCTATTGTTGCTCTCGCTAATGTTGTTCACGACACACACATTAAATTGGCCACATTAGCCACAGCCGGCGACATGTGATAGCCTACAGCTGCCCGGTGGGAAGCAACTGCTGCCTAGTGGGAAGCAAGACTCACGTCAGCAAGCACCTCGCACTGGCTTGTCGTTACGTTAGTTATGTGGCATGTCACGGTGACATCCAGATGGTGACCATTACTACAACTGGGGCAGCAGATAGGCTAGCGGTTAAGAGCGTTGGACTAGTAACCAAAAGGTCACTGGTTCAAATCCTCGAGCCGACTAGGTGAAACAATTTTCAACGTGCCCTTGAGCAAAGCACTTAAACCTAATTGCTCCTGCTAAAAAGTGCAAGTTATTTCTCCCTCGCCCAATGAAATAAACATAACTAGTGCCATGCTGCTGTTGTTGCCAGCTAGCCAGCATAAACTAACTAGCTGGGAAGGGCTCATCAGGATGACTGAACCAAATCCATTAATCTCTATACTCAGCTACGCGAGTATAGCCTCTCCCATCACAATTCACATGAATTATCAGAATATTACTTACAATTCTGTATTAATATCAGTGATGTAGTGGTAAAAAAAGGTGGGTAATGGGTAAACTATAAACTCCAGTGGGCGATCAAGAAAAGACAAACAAACACAGATGAAAACGTATTACATTTTTAGAACTGTATTGTTCGCATTTTGATTGCATTTAAATGTAGACCTATAGGGAAGATAGGCCATGTGGAGATGTTCACATTGAAACATATCTTCTCTTTTTTAAATTCCTAACTTGTTTGATAAGATTAGTACAGATTTTCTCAGGGGACCCCACACGGGGCCCGACTCCAAGTTTGGCAACCACTGTACTAACCTCTCTCTCCACTTGCTTCCGCTCTCTCTGTCTCTCTGTCTCCTCTGCTTCCTCCTGCATGCATTGCAGCCTGCCTCAGCCTCACCACTGAGCGCCACATCACTGTCTGTCTCAGTAGCCTACTCTCTGTAAAGCAAAGAGAACTTAGTAGCCTATTTTTGCATCTGCTGAGGTAGGCTCCGTTTAACGTTAGCTTCTTACTTCATCCTTCTAGCTGGCTAAGTAATACTTGCCAGAGCCCTTCAACGTTACTGCAATAGAAGTCACTGCCGGCAGTTAGCCACCTGACTGACTGACTGACATAGTGCACCCATCCCCTTTTCCACATTTTGTTACGTTACAGCCTTATTCTAAAATTGATTAAATTAATGTTTTCCCTCATCAATCTACACACAATACCCCATAATGACAAAGTGAAAACAGGATTTTAGACATTTTTGCACATTTATTGAATATAAAAAACAGAAATGCCCTATTTACATAAGTATTCAGACCCTTTGCTATGAGATGTGAAATTGAGCTCAGGTGCATCCTGTTTCCATTGATCATCCTTGATTTGTTTCTACAACTTGATTGGAGTCCACCTGTGACAAATTCAATTGATTGGACATGATTTGGAAAGGCACACACCTGTCTATATAAGGTCCCACAGTTGACAGTGCATGTCAGAGCAAAAACCAAGCCATGAGGTCGAAGGAATTGTCCATAGAGCTCCGAGACAGGATTGTGTCAGGCACAGATCTGGGGAAGGGTACCAAAAAATGTCTGCAGCATTGAAGGTCCCCAAGAACACAGTTGCCTCCGTCATTCTTAAATGGAAGAGGTTTGGAACCACGAAGACTCTTCCTAGACATTCTCTGAATGTCCTTGAGTGGCCCAGCCAGAGCCCGGACTTGAACCAAATCGAACATCTCTGGAGAGACCTGAAAATAGTTGTGCAGCGACGCTCCCCATCCAACCTGAGAGAGCTTGAGAGGATCTGCAGAGAAGAATGGGAGAAACTCTCCAAATACAGGTGCGCCAAGCTTGTAGCGTCATACCCAAGAGGACTCAAGGCTGTAATCGCTGCCAAAGGTGCTTCAACAAAGTACTGAGTACTTATGTAAATGTGATATATTCTTTATTTTTTTATATACATTTTGAAAAAATTATAAAAACCTGTTGTTGCTTTGTCATTACGGGGTATTTTGTGTAGATTGATGAGGGAAAAAAAACAATTTAATCCATTTTAGAATAAGGCTGTAACGTAACAAAATGTGGAAAAAGTCAAGGGTTTGAATACTTTCCGAATGCACTGTATCTATAAGTGACTATTTACCTGTTTTGCACTCATTCTACGAGAGACGGCTTTTCTTTGTTTGGGGGATGCCCGTAGATACGGCAGGAGTCGCAGGACGGTTTTCAAATTGCCTCATGTTTCAACCCCTCGGCCTGTGCCGCGAGAAGGCCTTGTAAATGTTCTGCTAAAAAGGCAAATCCAGGAGGCTAATCCGGGGGACGCAGGCGAACATAATGAACAAACCACTTTTCATGATTCCACTTGTTCGAAAAAAAGGCAGGTGCAATTAGAACTCAGTCAGAGCAATAATATAAGCGTTCTGAGATTTGAACAACACTGGGAGCAATATTTAGTTGACCCGTAATTTATTTTCTTTATGTGTAGAAAATATATATTTTGATTATTATTTTAAAAAATCGGTGTCCTCATATGTAGTTACGGCCCTGCACACACACGCACACAAGCACGCACGCACTCACACATACACTCCAAACTCCATCTAAAACCACAGCCCATCTATATCACTGTCAACTACACTGAACAAAAATATAAACGCAACATGCAACAATTTCAAAGACTTTACTGAATTACAGTTCATATAAGGAAATCAGTCAATTGAAATAAATAAATTAGGCCCTAATCAATAGATTTCACATGACTGGGAATACAGATATGGACCTGTTGGTCACAGATACAATATATACAGAGCCTTGCAAAAGTATTCATCTCCCTTGGCATTTTTCCTATTTTGTTGCATTACAACCTGTAATTTAAATTGATTTTTATTTGGATTTCATGTAATGGACATACACAAAATAGTCCAAATAGGTGAAGTGAAATGAAAAAAATTACTTGTTTCAAAAAATTCAAAAAAATAAATAACGGAAAAGTGGTGCGTGCATATGTATTCACCCCCTTTGCTATGAAGCCCCTAAATAAGATCTGGTGCAAACAATTACCTTCAGAAGTCACATAATTAGTTAAATGAAGTCCACCTGTGTGCAATCTAAGTGTCACATGATCTGTCACATGATCTCAGTATACATACACCTGTTCTGAAAGGCCCCAGAGTCAGCAACACCACTAAGCAAGGGGCACCACCAAGCAAGCGGCACCATGAAGACCAAGGAGCTCTCCAAACAGGTCAGGGACAAAGTTGTGGAGGAGTACAGATCAGGGTTGGGATATTAAGAAATATCAGAAACTTTGAACATCCCACGGAGCACCATTAAATCCATTATTAAAAAATGGAAAGAATATGGCACCACAACAAACCTGCCAAGAGAGGGCCACCCACCAAAACTCACGGACCAGGCAAGGAGGGCATTAATCAGAGAGGCAGCAAAGAGACCAAAGATAACCTTGAAGGAGCTGCAAAGCTCCACAGCGGAGATTGGAGTATCTGTCCATAGGACCACTTTAAGCCGTACACTCCACAGAGCTGGGCTTTACAGAAGAGTGGCCAGAAAAAAGCCATTGCTTAAGAAAAAAATAAGCAAACATATTTGGTGTTCACCAAAAGGCATGTGGGAGACTCCCCAAAGATATGGAAGAAGGTACTCTGTTCAGATGAGCTTTTTGGCCATCAAGGAAAACGCTATGTCTGGCGCAAACCCAACACCTCTCATCACCCTGAGAACACCATCATGCTGTGGGGATGTTTTTCATCGGCAGGGACTCGGAAACTGGTCAGAATTTAAGGAATGATGGATGGCGCTAAATACATGGAAATTCTTGAGGAAAACCTGTTTCAATCTTCCAGAGATTTGAGGCTGGGACGGAGGTTCACTTTCCAGCAGGACAATGACCCTAAGCATATTGCTAAAGCAACACTCGAGTGGTTTAAGGGGAAACATTTAAATGTCTTGGAATGGCCTAGTCAAAGCCCCGACCTCAATCCAATTGAGAATCTGTGGTATGACTTAAAGATTGTTGTACACCAGTGGAACCCATCCAACTTGAAGGAGCTGGAGCAGTTTTGCCTTGAAGAATGGGCAAAAATTCCAGTGGCTAGATGTGCCAAGCTTATAGAGACATACCGCAAGAGACTTGCAGCTGTAATTGCTTCAAAAGGTGGCTTGACAAAGTATTGACTTTGGGGGGGGGGGGGGGTTTGGTGAATAGTTATGCATGCTCAAGTTTTGTGTTTTTTTGTCTCATTTCTTGTTTGTTTCACAAGAAAATATATTTTATAGGCATGTTGTGTAAATCAAATGATACAACCCCCCCCAAAATCCATTTTAATTCCAAGTTGTAAGGCAACAAAATAGGTATACTGTATACAAAAGTATGTGGACACCCCTTCACATTAGTGGATTCGGCTATTTCAGCCACACCTGTTGCTGGCAGGTGTATAAAATCGAGCACACAGCCATGAAATCTCCATAGACAAACATTGGCAGTAGAATGGTCTTACTGAAGAGCTCAGTGACTTTCAACGTGGCACCGTCATAGGATGCCACCTTTCCAACAAGTCAATTCGTCAAATTTCTGCCCTGCTAGAGCTGTCCCGGTCAACTGTAAGTGCTGTTATTGTGAAGTGGAAACGTCTCGGAGCAACAACGGCTCAGCCGCAAAGTGGTAGGACACATGCTCACAGAACGGGACTGCCGAGTGCTGATGTGCGTAGCACGTAAAAATTGTCTGTAACACTCACTACCGAGTTCCAAACTGCCTATGTAAGCAACGTCAGCACAAGAACTGTTAGTCGGGAGCTTCATGAAATTGGCTTCCATGTCCGAGCAACCGCACACAAGCCTAAGATCACCATGCGCAATACCAAGCGTCGGCTGGAGTGGTGGAAATCTCGCCGCCATTGGACTTTGGAGCAGTAGAAACGCGTTCTCTGGAGTGGTGAATCACGCTTCACCATTATGCAGTACGACGGACAAATCTGGGTTTGGCGGATGCCAGGAGAACACTACCTGCGCAAATGCATAGTGCCAGTGCCAACTGTAAAGTTTGGTGGAGGAGGAATAATGGTCTGGGGCTGTTTTTCATGGTTTGAGCTAGGCCCCTTAGTTCCAGTGAAGGGACATCTTAATGCTACAGTACACAATGACATTCTAGACGATTCTGTGCTTCCAACTTTGTGGCAACAGTTTGAGGAAGGCCCTTTCCTGTTTCAGCATGACAATGCCCCCGTGCACAAAGCGAGGTCCATACAGAAATGGTTTGTCGAGATCGGTGTGGAAGAACTTGACTAGCCTGCACAGAGCCCTGACCCCATATAACACCTTTGGGATGAATTGAAATGCCGACTGCGAGCCAGGCCTAATTGCCCAACATCAGTGCCCGACCTCACTAATGCTCGCAGCAATGTCCCCGCAGCAATGTTCCAACAGCTAGTGGAAAACCTTCCCATAAGAGTTGAGGCTGTTATAGCAGCAAAGGGGGGACCAACTCCATATTAATGCCCATAATTTTGGAATGAGATGTTCGACGAGCAGGTGTCCACATACTTTTGTTTATGTAGTGTACCTTAAAAAACGGTATGGGTGTGGATCAGAAAACCAGTCAGTATCTGGTGTGACTATCATTTGCCACACACATCTCCTTCGCATAGAGTTGATCAGGCTGTTGAATGTGGCCTGTGGAATGTTGTCGATCCAGAGCATCCCAAACATGCCTAATGGATGAAATGTCTGGTGAGTATGCAGGCCATGGAAGAACTGAGACATTTGCAGCTTCCAGGAATTGTGTGACATGGGGACATGGGGCCGTCCATTATCATGCTGAAACATGATGTGTTGGCGGCGAATGAATGGCACGACAATGGGCCTCAGGATCTCGTCACGGTATCCCTGTGCATTCAAATTTCCATTGATAAAATGCTATTGTGTTTGATGTCCGTAGCTTATGCCTGCCTGCCCATACCATAACCCCACCGCCAACATGGGGCACTCTGTTCACAACGTTGACATCAGCAAACCGCTCGCCCACACGACACCATGTCTGCCATCTGCCCGGTACAGTTCAATCCGTGAAGAGCACACTTCTCCAGCGTGTCAGTGACCATCGAATGTGAGCATTTGCCCACTGAAGTCGGCTACAACGAGCACGCAGATGAGCTTCCCTGAGACAGTTTCTGACAGCTTGTGCTGAAATTCTTCAGTTGTGCAAATCCACAGTTTAATCAGCTGTCCAGATGGCTGGTCTCAGAAGATCCTGCAGGTGAAGAAGCTGGATGTGGAGCTCCTGGGCTGGCGTGGTTACACGTGGTCTGCGGTTGTGAGGCCGGTTGGACGTACTGACAAATTCTCTAAAACGACGTTGGAGGCCGCTAATGGTAGAGAAATTAACATTAAATTCTGTGGCAACAGCTCTGATGGACATTCCTGCAATCAGCATGCCAATTGCATGCTCCCTCAAAACTTGAGACATCTGTGGCATTGTGTTGTATGACAAATCTGCACATTTTAGAGTGGCCTTTTATTGTCCCCAGCACAAGGTGCACCTGTGTAATGATCATGCTGTTTACTCAGCTTCTTGATATGCCACACCTGTCAGGTGGATGGATTATCTTAGCAAAGGAGAAATGCTGACTAACAGGGATGTAAACAAATTTGTGCACAACATTTGAGAGAAATAAGCCTTTTGTGCGTATGGAACATTTCTGAGACCTTTTATTTCAGCTCATGAAACTTGGGACCAACACTTTTTACATGTTGCGTTTATATTTTTGTTCAGTATAAATCCACTACCCATCGCAAATACCACACCTCCATCCCCCATCCTAGCAACACATGACGGTGGGTCAGCAACATCACAGGCTGGGTGTGTGATCAGTTGGAGAAGTAGTCCTGTAGTGTTTTGTTTATTGAGTGCAGGCTAAGCGCCCCCTGTCATCACAGGGAAAAACCTGCTGCATCCATCCAGCCCAGGGGTCTCTACAGAAACACAGGGCTGTCACTTGATTCCAAACACCACATGTATGACAAACTACAGTAATCCCTGGTTCCCGACTGTCAGCCTGTGCTAGGTGTTAACGTGGCGGCACTGCCAGAAATCAAAAGCTTGGATTAGGCTACTCGGACGATCCAAGAAAACAAGCGGCACAACTTTTGGAGGAAAACAAATGATTTTAAAAGATTAAGAGGCTTTGCTCATAAAACATTTAGCAGCACCATCGGTCTACACCTACCTGTCCCCCCCACCCCCCGTCTGTCAAACACTCTCCCCCAGGCTGTTTGAAGAAGCATCACTTTGGATTTTGCAACTTTGTTTTCGGCAGCGGAGTGTGTGTGTGAGTGTGTGAGTGTGTTTTCTCTCCCCATGTTCACAAAGCTATAGGCAAATGAGGTGTGGCAGGTTAGACTTTGCCGATGGCTCCGAAGGTTTTACAAGGTTGTAAAAGCGGTCACGGGTCGAGCCGTTTTAATAAACATCAGAATCAACATGACTTTGTGATGTAGAGGTGACAGCTCCGAAAGAGGTCTGGAGACTGATGATCTGTGCAGCTATCAGGAACCTGTCGTTAACGGCAACCATAAACAACCGTTTAAAATTATCTCTCTCTTTCTCTCTCTCGTAAACTAACCATGTGAGGCCCCATTTTAATTCAAACAGAAAATGAGGGAATATATGAAAATGTGCCATTGCCATATGATTGAAATGGTGCTCTGTTTTTGCTGTGGTATTGTTGCATGGGAACAATTCCTCTGTATTTCTTCTGTGTTTCTGCCACTCTCTCAAGGAGGACAAAGCCACATCTCCTGTACCTCCAGATGTGCTGATTAAATGCAAATATTTCTGAAAGGCTCCTTTGACTCCTCAACAGCTTTCCTAACAAAGACAACAAAGAATCCTCTCAGCCCGCCTCCCAAATGGCACCCTATTCCCTATAGGGCCCCTGGGGCTCAGGTCAAAAGTAGTGCACTATGTAGGAAATAGGTTGCCATTTGGGATGCAACCTCAGACTGACATTTGAGGGAATATTACAGAGGGTTTTTAAAAGAGGAGAGTTAGAAAGAATCAAGGCAGTGAAAGAGGATGAGTGGAACCCCAACAGTGAACACCACACAATGGGCTCTGGTGATATTCACTGTGGCACTTACAAGGCGGGAGATGATTAGTTACTTACAACATTATGGAAATTACTCTTATTTTGTCTGATGGGGTAATAACAGACAGAGTATAGTGCACTCTAAGAAAAAAGGGTTCCAAAAGGGTTCTGCGTCTGTACCCATTGGAGAACACTTTTTCGTTCCAGGTATAACTCTTTTGGGTTCCATGTAGAACCCTCTGTGGAAAGGGTTCTTTATGGAACCCAAAATGGTTCTACCTGGAACCAAAAGGTGTTATTTAAAGGGTTCTCCTATGCGGACTGCTGAATAATAATAATAATATGCCATTTAGCAGACGCTTTTATCCAAAGCAACTTACAGTCATGTGTGCATACATTTTTACGTATGGGTGGTCCCGGGGATCAAACTCAATACCCTGGTGTTACAAGCGCCATGCTCTACCAATTGAGCTACAGAGGACCACAGAACCCTTATTGGTTCTAGATAGCTCCATTTTAGTTCCAGGTAGAACCCTTTTGGGTTCAATAACGAGTGTAAGACCAAATCATTTATCATCACTGTAGAGCACACATTTATGCTACTTATTTATTTGATAGTGAGAATTGAGGTATGGATGCTACACATGATGAAGTGCTATGAAGTACAATACTGATTGAGGAATGAACATCCTGCCAAGACGTGCTGCTGCCAACCAATCTAAACAAGCTCTGTCCATTGTGTTCTTTCAGTGTGTGGGAAGAAATGTTCAACTGCAGATTCCTTAAAACCGAAAAGTAATATAGCACTGTCGTTGATGGTATATGGCAAAGGGTGTGGAATGAATGGATACATTTGCAATATTTTTCAATCTGTACCATCATAAAGCAGATATTTAAGATAATTGAAATGTGATATTTGAAATAAGATCATGGAGGAATGGATAGAGAAGATTACAATGGCTGCAACACCTCTGCTTAATCACCTTGGTTAATGAGCAGACCCACTAATTGCCACCACATTAGCTAAATTGAATCCTGGGGAGTGCCCTGTTAACGCTGAAGAATAAATTATCAGGGCTGGGCGGTGTGCCTAGAAAACGTTTGCAAATGGAGTGATTATAACACAGTAAGATGAGGTTGATGATTTTAATAACCGTAACAGGGCAAGAACACGGCGGTCAAATCCTCCAGGCCCTTCAATAGACCACAATGCATAATCATTGCAAACACATCAGGCTATTTAAATGCTGGGTCATCTACGTATTCTAGAACAATATCCAGTCCAATATGGAACCCTCTTTATACTGTACTGCTGCACTGATGACTGTCTGCCTCATGCATGGGCAACTAAGAGCACAGAACAGCATAAGCACAGCAGATCTTTAATCAAACACTGCACAGTGTATCTGTGTTTCAGGTCTCACAGGCTCCAACCAACACATACTTTTTAATATATTTTCTAACAGGTTTTTATAAAGTCTAATTCTCCCCTTAAGGTAGCCTTGCCACTCCAATATTCCAGCCGCTACTGAGAGAGAGAGAGAGAGAGAGAGAGAGAGAGAGAGAGAGAGAGAGAGAGAGAGAGAGAGAAAATCATTGTGCAACTCTCGTCTCCCTCTGCAATTATTTTTGCCCATGTAACAATCTGTCACAATGCCTAGGTGTTAAAATTCAACTGATGTTAACAACCAGTCCTTATTTGAAATGGGGAGTCATGCCGAGAGAGAGAGAGGCTGAAGACCGCTGCTGGTGCCAATGCCCCCAAGATGACTAATTCATACAACGTGTTGATGACTGCAGTCTGTATAATCATTGCTATCAATATAATGATGAGATATTAACTTCCAATTTAATGGCCCTGGCCGCATTAAACGTTAAATTAAGATAGACCTTTTTAATGCTCGGCGCAGTACTTAGACAGGACCTTAGTGCATTGATGCTCATAATGTTCACTGTAATGTTTTCTCTCTGCATACTGTAACATAAAACTGTTACTTGATCAGTTCTATGATGTCTATGTTAGAGTATCTTTTTGCATATGTACCATTTACATAGAGGGATACTAAGGATAGCTTTACTGCACATTCTACCTTAATTTTTAGCATATAGTCAGTAAAAATATACACTGAGTGTACAAAACATTAAGAACACCTGCTCTTTCCATGACATAGACTGACCAGGTGAATCCAGGTGAAAGCTATGATCCCTTATTGATGTCAGTTGTTAAATCGACTTCAATCAGTGTAGATGAAGGGGAGGAGACAGGTTAAAGAAGGATTTTTAAGCCTTGAGACAATTGAGACATGGATTGTGTATGTGTGCCATTCAGAGGGTGAATGGGCAAGACTAAATATTGAAGTGCCTTTGAACAGGGTATGGTAGTAGGTGCCAGGCGTACCGGTTTGTGTCAACAACTGCAACGCTGCTGGATTTTTCATGCTCAACAGTTTCCTGTGTTTATCAAGAATGGTCCATCACCCAAAGGACATCCAGCCAACTTGACACAACTGTGGGAAGCATTGGAGTCAACATGGGCCAGCATCCCTGTGGAACACTTTTGACACCTTGTAGAGTCCATGCCCCGACAAATTGAGGCTGTTCTGAGGGCAGAAAGGGGGGGGGGGGGGGGGGGCAACTCAATATTAGATAGGTGTTCCTAATGTTTGGTATACTCAGTGAGCATCTTGTTGAGAGAAATTTATGACTTGTGAGTATATATCCACCATACTGAACATGCCCTCTGGTGCACTGTAATCTGACATGATTTACTGGCTGCCATTCCCAGCCATTTCCCTGACAACAACCTCACACAACTGTACATGCAATTAAATGCATGGATATCTTTTTCCCCATTAGCCCCCGACAGTTTCACTTTGACTCTATGCAGTGGGTGGTCTACTGCAGGATTGAATGGTGGTTCAGAAAAACAAGGGCACCATGGCGACCGGAGTGGGGGCGGGTGGGTGTACTGTACAGCAAGACAAGGGGATATTGGTATCATAGCAACATAGGGGGTGAAACTAGCTCGTCCTGTAATCTATCAGCCCAGGTAAGGCAGTGTCATGTCAGGGACGACCTTGGCTTCATTTGACAGTGGTGATGTGGGGATGTGGCCGAGTCAACAGTCCTAATTGGCCTGGATCTATCAGAACTGCACGGTAAGCAGCTCTACCTCTCCTCCTCCTGTCCTCGCATGTCTGTCACTACCTTTACAACCCCAGCTCCTTTAGCCTAGGTCTTGGAGGATCGTCTTTGCAAACTAATCAAAAGGGACTATTTCATCTTGAATTAGCTGTGATTAGAATAGAGGCCCACTTGGCCTGATTAGAGAGATGGAGGAGGGCTGTGATAGGATATCAAGTGGGCCATGTTGTGTCAGCAGTCAGGGGTTGCATCCCAAATAGCACCCTATTACATTTATAGTGCACTACTTTTGACCAGGGCCCATTGTGCACTATAATGGGAATAGGGTGCCATTTGGGATGCAGTCAGTGTGTTTTGGGTGGTGTCCATACATAGTCGATAATGGACCTGTGTCTGTATGTATAAAATATAGGATATTGGCCTTACATAACTTAATAGTGATGAGCTGAGGGAGGGTAACGTCATATGACCTCTTCCTTTACCTGACAGTACCAGTACAATCTCTTCATTTATTTTCTAAGTAGTCCCATGCTTATCAGAGCAGAAAGCTGAATGTAATACATAATGGAATTGCTGTCATTCGGGAAACCATATCCAGAGACACTTTCAAAGCAGAAACATTTCTGAATAAACAGGCATATGGCGGATGGTAGTCAGTTAGGGTGTCACGCCCTGGCTCTGGGGACTCTTAAATGTTGAGCTAGGGTGTGGATTTTTCCTTGTTTAGTTTTCTAGGTTTGTCGTTCTAGATCGTGTATTTCTATGTTGGCCAGGGTGGTTCCCAATCAGAGACAGCTGTAGTTCGTTGTCTCTGATTGGGGACCATACTTAGGCAGCCTGTTGGCATGTTACGTTGTGGGATCTTGTTCCGTTAAGGTTTGTGTTATTTAACCTAGGACTTCACGTATCGTTTGTTTATTGTTTTGGTTCGTGTGTGTACACAATAAAGTATGTACGCTTATCACGCTGCGCCTTGGTCCGCTTCCTGTAACATTCGTGACATAGGGAGGAGAGCAGACTTTGTTAGTCAGAGGGCTCAGGGTTGGGTGTACTGCGGGCATGTGAAGGGCACGGACGGGGAGAAGGGGCATGGTGGGGGAACCACCCGGCTTTCCTAACCCTGAGCCCCCAGATGGCCATGAGGCACCTGAATGACTGAGTCAGTCCAGAGTCACAGAGCCATGGCCTAGCAGACAGACAGGTGCCTACAAACAGCTGAGATCAGTGGCTCCCTGCCTGGCTGCCTTTCTGACACTGGGACCAGGGGACAAGAGGGAAGGACAGGGGGGAGGACCCAAAATGTATCTCAGGTGAACATGACCAAAATAAAAACATAGAAATA